AAAAAGGCAGTTCCAGTTTGATAACTATTACTATATTATGTATACACACAGACAGTATTGAGTAACTAACTTTCAGGGAATTGTGTGAGATGTTTTAAGAGATCTAAAGATGAGAATTTCAGATGCTTTCAGCTGCAAGTAACAATGACAGAGACATATGAAGACATTATTAAGTACAAAGGTATTTATTATTTTGCTAAAAAGAAATCAGAGGAAGACCATTTCCAGGATTGGTACAGTGGCTCAATGGTGTATTTTAGCTTAGCCATCATCAACAGGTTGGCTTTTTCTTAAGGATTATATGTCAGTATTCATAAGATGCCTTAGCTCTAGATATCATGTCCTTATATAACCACATCTAATGGTGGAAGAATGGCAGTTTTCCCTCATCTATCTCTTTTCATCAGGGAAGAAACTTTATCTCAGAAGTCTCTGGCACATTTCCTTCTGGCTCAAATCAAGTTAGGTGTCTTTAGCTTAGCTGAAGGGAAGCTAGAAAATTATCTGTCATTTCCAATATATATTGTGGAGGTGTGTGTGTGTGTGTGTGTTGTGTGTGTATTGTTAGATAGGCAACCAAGAGTGTCTGACACAAGGAATAAGACGAAATCTCAGTCCTCCCTAAAGAAGCTTGTGTCTCTCTGGGTAGAACAACAAGCTATAACTATATTACAATTTCTGTGGGGTACCTTCCTGGAAACTCTCATGGGCTTCAAATTAACAATCCCTTTTAAATTGGTTGAAGAAAACTGTTCTAGATATTTTGATTTGGAGTTGCCAAAGCTGTCCTCTCTCAATTTTTAGTCACAAGTCTGTTCTGAGCATCTTTTTCATAAGTGGTGTTAAGAAATGTAGTATCAGGGGCACCTGGGTGGCTCAGTCATTAAGCATCTGCCTTCTGTTCAGGTCATGATCCCAGGGTCCTGGGATTGAGCCCCGCATCGGGCTCCCTGCTCTGCGGGAAGCCTGCTTCTCCCTCTCCCACTCCTCCTGCTTGCTGTCTCCTGTTCCCTCTCTCGCTGTCTCTCTCTGTCAAATAAATAAATAAAATCTTAAAAAAAAAAATGTAGTATCAATTTACATAATGTGATTTTAAGGGATGTTCTCTTTCTCCAAAATGCTCTCACCCTTCCATCTTCACATGCCCACATCTCATTCATCGTTTGATGAAAGCTAAAAAATAATGCCTCTCATTTATTTCATTTGTTCAGCAAGTATCTGTTGCATGCTTACTATGTCGAGCACTCTGCAATTGTTGGAGATACAAAACATGAGCTCTGATCTCATGGAGCTTACAGTCAGGTGGGGAACACTGACAATTAACAATAACAATTAAGTGATGAGGAAGAATAAGGTACAAGCAGAGGACAGGCAGGGGTGTTGACACTGTTGGTGGGGATAGAAGCAGACAGAGAAGTCTACTTGAAGACTTTTTAAAGATGATACCTAGGAATGAGTAGGAATTGGAGAGAGAAAGGGAGGGGAAAGTGTTCAAGGTAAAGAGAATAGTGTATAGGAAACCACGGAAGTGAAAGTGTTAGTGAAAGTGCTCTTGAGGGGCGCCTGGGTGGCTCAGTCGGTTAAGCGACTGCCTTCGGCTCAGGTCATGATCCTGGAGTCCCTGGATCGAGTCCCACATCGGGCTCCCTGCTCGGCAGGGAGTCTGTTTCTCCCTCTGACCCTCACCCCTCTCATGTGCTCTCTCTCTCTCTCATTCTGTCTCAAATAAATAAATAAAATCTTAAAAAAAAAAAAAAAGAAAGTACTTTTGAAAAAGGCCTCTTTAACTCCTCCTTCCCCTAGGTAATTTCTCCATTTGATGAACCCTAGAGCACTTAAGATACAATTTTTAGACCATTAGATCTCTGAAGGCAAAACATATGACTTATACAGAATACTGGGCAAATGTGAGTGCAGCTTCAGAGGAGAGTGAGGCTGTTATCTGTGTCAATGAAAAATGCTACCTTAAAACATTAAAATATCTAAGGTAAGAGGTGGATTATACCATACTTCTCTTCAAAATGATAGGAAAAGCATCATCTGTCTAAGTGACTACAGAGACCAAAGCAACAGGGAGGAATTGATTCATAAAGTTCTGGAGGAAGTACAAAGTAATTATAGCTCCAATCCTCGGATGTTACTTTAAAAGCTATTTTAGGGAATATAATGAAAACCTGGTATACATCAGAAAGAAAAAATAGCCACTCACTTATGTTTACAAGAGGTTTTCTTTTTAAATATTCTCTTGGTATGGGCTGCTCTTTGTGTGTGGTAGGGTTTTGAGTTACTGGTGGGGAGGACCTAATCACACCTGACAACCTACTTTTAAAATCAGATATTAAGGGGCAGCTGGGTGGTTCAGTTGGTTAAGTGACTGCCTTTGGCTCGGGTCATGATCCCAGGGTCCTGGGACTGAGTCCCACATGGGGCTCCTTGCTCAGCAGGGAGCCTGCTTCTCCCTCTGCTGCTCCCCCTCCTTGTGCTCTTTCTCGTTCTGTCAAATAAATAAATAAAATAAAATATTAAAAAAACCCCACACATACACACAAATGTCCATGTCATGACTCAGGTTTTTACCATTTTATTTCATTTCTTGTTTATTTTTTTCTTTTTGTTCATTTTAGATACATGTTCCAAAATCCTTTTGCCACTTGGTTGAGAAGAACCAGAGTGAGTAAATTTTGATAGAGAAGGAGGTTTGGGGATATAGCTATTGTCTTGATAGGCCAGAATAGATAGTATTTTAAGCTTTCATGAGAAAGCTCCCTTTAATTTATTCCTCTCCTTAATTCTAGTTCCACAGTTCATCCCTGGGTTTGAGAAGGTACTTGCTTGATCCTGCCATTTCTATAGCTAAGTAAATAATAACTCCCAAATAATAAGCAAATGTATATAAATGTGTTGTGTGAATGGTAAGACACTATACACAAATGTAAGGATTTATTTTATCATTAACTTGGGAGGTGTTTTTTTTTTTTTTTTTTGCTCATGAGCAGGGGGGAAGGGCAGAAGGAGAGGGAGAAAGAATCCCAAGCAGGTCCCATGCCCAGTGCAGAGCCTGAAGCTGACTGATCTCACAACCCTAAGATCATGAACGGAGCTGAAATCAAGAGTCAGATGTTTAACCAATTGAGCCACCCAGGCGCCCCAGAAGTATTTTTGACAGTTTTTTTTTTAAGTAATCTCTACTCCTAACATGGGGCTTTAACTCACAACCTCGAGATCAAGAGTCACATGCTCTACTGACTGAGCCAGCCAGGTTGTCACCCACCACTTTTTATTGATACTAGTTTTTTGAAGTGTCCTCCCCAAGGACAGACTTACTTTTTTGGATGTTGTCCCATAGTATGGTGAGGTGTGGGTGCCTAATTCTCTAATTTGGTGATTCTTAATGTTTTATTTATCTTTTATTAATATAGTTTATTTTTTTTAAATATTTTTATTTTTATTTTGAGAGAGAGAGAATGAGAGAGAGCACATGAGAGGGGGGAGGGTCAGAGGGAGAAGCAGACTCCCTGCCGAGCAGGGAGCCTGATGCGGGACTCGATTCTGGGACTCCAGGATCATGACCTTAGCCGAAGGCAGTCGCTTAAACAACTGAGCCACCCAGGCGCCCTAATATAGTTTATTTTTTAAAAGTTTTAGATTTTAAATTTTCCATAAATTTTAAATTTACAGAAAAATGGAGTCCTCATATAACCTCTCCTTCCCCAGTTACCTTTATTACTAATGTTAGTACGATACATTTGTTACAATTAATGAACCAATATCGATACACTGTAATTACTAAAGTCCATATTCATTCAGGTTTTTTTTTTTTTTTTTTTTGCCTAAAGTCTTTTTTTCTCTTCTAGGATCCCATTCAGCTTAAAACCTACACCGAGTTGTCATGTTTATATCTACATTACACTTAGTTGCCATGTCTCCTTCGGTTCCTCTTGGCTGTGACATTAACCTTCATTTTTTGGGTCATAAACTGGGTTGAAAATCTGATGAAAGTTATGGATCCTCTTCACAGAAAAATGCACATGCTTCAGATGTCTAATTTAAGGGAGGTTCACCGATAAGAGATTCAGAAGCCCCGCTCTAGGAGGAAAAGGTGATCTTTAAAATATCCTCTCCCCCCACATTTGGGCTCAAGGTCAGGCTCTACCTCTACTTTGTTGTGTGACCTTTTTGCATAGCTACTTGGACCTCAGTTTCACCATCTGTGAAATGAAGGGTTTGGTTTACACGACGTCTAAATCCTTTTCTTGCACAGTGGAAGGTGGGCGTCACCTACAATTGTCTACATCAGAATAACAAAGGCTGATAACAGACCTAGCCAGATCAGGGAAGTGGATGGGCTTATCCAATAAAGAGGTTGCCGAGGTTCAATGCGGTATAAGACAAAACCTAGGTTCCACTTTATGGCTTTGTGGATTTTCTAAGTCATTTCCTTCCTCTGAGCTTAGATTTCCTCATGGGCAAACATGTAGAGGCTCAGCTTCTGGTAGTTATGAAACTCCTGGGAGCAACAGTGGACAATGTACCTAGTAAGATAGCGTGTGAGGAATTACGGTAAGAAAAAAGATGGAGTAGGTGGGTTAGTGCACGGGTGAACGGCAGATTTAAGGAGACCGAGAAAGGGCTGAGGGCTTTGGAAAAAAGGAACAGAGTACACACCTTAAGGCTATCGGACCACACCCTCACAGTGCTGGGGTCAATTCAACCTACGTGCCAGCCCCGCCTCCTGCCCCCTCCTTTCCCTTCTCCTCCCCTCCCCTCCGGCTGCGACGTGCCACACTTGGCATGGCAGTCACAGTGCGACGCTTTCCGCCGCGCAAGTGGCGCGCGCGCTCTCGTGCTGCCACCTCACTGCCATCCCCGCCCGCCCTTGGCTTCCTCCGATTGGTTCTCACGTAAGTGACGTAAGTGCTCCTTATTCCACCCACAGCCCTTCCCAGGGTTCCGCCCCGCCTCCTCCTTGCTTTTCCAGACTCGAGTGGCAACCTAACCTGCCCTGGTCTCTGTTGCGCCGGAGGAGCCGGGAAAGCAAGCTAAACCAGGAAGGCGCCGGCTTGTGGCGCGCACGCGCACGCACGCACGCACGCACGCCGGCGGCCGGCGGGGGGCACGCTCGCGCCCGGGCTCGCCGCGCGCCGCGCCAGAGGCTCGCGCACTCAGCAGGTTGGGCTGCGGCGGCGGCAGCTGTGGGAGCTGAGGCGCTGCGCGTGAGAGGTCCCAGACGCGTCTGCGGCTCCAGTTCCGCCACCTTCCGCTTCTCTTACCCCAGGTTCGGTGCCGGGTGCTGAGAGGGGATCGGCGCTAGCCTCGGGAACCTCGAGCACACCCCTGGCTGCTTCCGACACCGCCATCCTTCCTTTCCCAGCCACGGGCCTCGCTCGGTGCTAGGCGACTCTGCGGGGAGGCGGCGGCGACCGCTGCCTGTCTGTAGGGAGGAGTCCTGCCCTGCAGCCTTGCTCCGCCGCCGGGCCCTAAAGGGTCCGAGAGAGCTTGGCACCGGTCCTTCCTCTCGCCTTTTTCGTCAACCGGTTGGAGCAGCGTCGGTCCGAGAGGTCTCTGGGCTGAGGCGGCGGCAGCTCCTCCGGCTCCATCATGTCCGCGGGCGGAGACTTCGGGAATCCGCTGAGGAAATTCAAGCTGGTGTTCCTGGGGGAGCAGAGCGGTGAGTGCGCGGCTCCCCCACTCCTGGCAGCTGGCCTCGGCTTCCCCGCACCGCCCCCAGTGCGGGCCTTCTGTCCGCGAAGGCTGTCTCCCCGCCTCGCGTTCGCGCTCGGTGCTAGCCCACAGCCCTGCCTGGTGTTTGCCGACCCCTCTTAGCCACCAGCTCCTTTTCGTCTTGATCCGTCGGTCAGATTTTGATCCTTCCGTCCCCGGTTCCGACGTCTCCTTTTCCCACAGCCCGGGCCTCGCCCGTCGATCTGCACCCCCCAGTCCTCACTCCGCCCAGCCCCAGCCTGCTGTCCATCCCTTTCTTCCTCCGGTCCCGTCGTCTCACCAACCGTAGCCCCCTTTCTGGAGCCCCACCCTTATTCTTGGCTTTTATCCCAGTTCGTCAGCTCTGAGAAGGCCCACCCCGGGAAGCCCCACTCTGGGGAACCGACTGTCTTCAACCTTGGACAAGGAGGGTGGGGGGATTAGGGCGTTGTTTTCCCTAGAGGCTTGGCCTTGGGAAGTGCGGATCTTGTGGGAGGTGGGAAGTGGGGGGGGGTCGTAGAAATTCTTGGATTGTTTTCACTTGGGTGGGGAATTAGTTTGGGTTATGGAGGGTATATGTCTATTGGAGGCGACTTGAGGATGGAGTGGTTGGGGAGTAAGGGGTGGCGGCGGCAGTGGCGATTTTTGCTTCTTGGGTTAGGCTGTGGCTTATCGGAAAAACCTCATTTTCTTCTCATGACTTTGATCCCTGACAATTCTTTTGGCACTGTTGATGCTTTCCCGATCTCTGCCAGATGCTATGTCATGATCGTTTTACTTGGAATTTTTCACATCTCACCTCTCCTTTTTCTCCTTTGAACATGAAGCAGTGTCTAATTTTCTTTATGGTGGTGCAAACAGGAATTACCGAAGAAATGTTAATTATTCCTTTTCTTAGTGTTTTCCAATTGTATATTTAGGATTCCTGTGAGAGAAGGCCTGAGAATAACGAACATCTTTGTTTTGTAGGATTTCCTTTGGGGCTAGAGAGTAATGGAGTAGAGTAGAATAGATTGATCATCTAGTTATCTTAAATTAGATTTCAGTATGTAATACCGTTTCGGCTAAATGACCCTTTTTGCTTAATATTCCATATGTGATGAGTGGAATGATCTTACCTGGTCAGGCTTCTGATGTTGCTTATTGCTTACTTTGTATTATATACAAGATCCTAGCTTTGTGATGGTTTTCTCTAAAATTATTTCTTGTGATGATTCCAGTTTTATGCTGAATTATGAAAGTTGGCACTGGACAATGTAGAGATTATCGTCCTCCTTTGTTTTTCTCACACTTCTCATGACCCTCTTTAAAATTCAGACATTGAGAGGTTAGTTCTTCCCAAGTCATCAGACACTGAGTTAACTGCTAGGTACCTTAGGTTAGGCTGTAGAGAAGACAATTTCTTTTGATTGGAAAGCAGATAACTTATAAATTCAGAGCTTTTACTACTGCCTTGAACTGTTCATACTAGTATATATGGAATTAAAATACGTTAACATTAGTTGCAAAATTGCTTCCAGTTGGAGCTGAGAAATCATTTTTCTCTTTTCAATATATATTTACTGCCTCCCTCCCTACCAAGGAAAAGTATAGTCTCCTCTTTGCTTATGAATTTTCCTGAAGCAAGTATAAGCTTGTTTCTTGACGTAACTTGGTAAGACCTATGAGGTTGATCCCAGTCTAGGTATTTTATGGCAATTTCAGGACAATGCCATGCATAAAATATTGTGTATTGGTCATTATTGATAAATAGGATCTAAAGTGCTTATTGTACACTCTAGGGATGTTATTGCTGGCCTTATGTTGTGATGCAGAGCTATTTAGTTTGCATGACAAATCCATTAATCTCTGTCCTAGGAAGATTTTATTTTATTATTATTTTTTAAAGATTTTATTTTTTTATTTGATAGAGACACAACGAGAGAGGGAACACAAGCAGGGGGAGTGGGAGAGGGAGAGGGAGAAGCAGGCTTCCCGCAGAGCTGGGAGCCCGATGTGGGGCTCATCCCAGGACCCTGGGATCATGACCTGAGCCAAAGGCAGACGCTTAATGACTGAGCCACCCAGGTGCCCCTGTCCTTGGAAGATTTTAGTATGAGTAGTGATCATAACTTCAGTATCTGCAGGTTTCCTTTGAATTCTTTGAGTATTTATGTTTTAATTCACATTGCAGAGTTTGGTGGCTTCTCATTTTTTATTTTAAGTCTTGACAACACCCCCTGTCTCCCTCCCCCGCCGCCCCTCCCGAAGTTATGGGTTAGATTTTTTTTTTAATGGACTTTATTTTTTAGAATGGTTTTAGGTTTACAGAAAATTGAGAAGATCGTGCAGAGGGTTCCCACACAGCCCCACCCAGTTTCCCCAGCATTCCTCAGTATTCTTAACATCTTACATTAGTATGTTACATTTGTTATAATGAGTGAGCCAATATTGATGTTATTATTAACTAAAGTCCATAGTTTATTGACATTTCCTTAGTTTTTATCTTTTTTTTTTGTTTTTTTTTTTTGTTTTAGCATTCAATTCAGGATACCACATTACATTTAGTTGTGCCTCTTTAGGCTCCTCTTAGAGGTTTTTTTAAGGATTGTGTTTACATGCTTTTTAACTCTGTGGAACTGTAAAGTCAATTATCTTTTAAGGCTACTATATTGCCAAGTAATGCCATCTGCTAGCTTTGACAATGAAAGATTGATCTTTGTTTTCATGGGCAGTGTCTGTAGTTTTCTTATGCATTAGTAAAGATCTGTAGAACCCATATCATCTTGATGTAACTCTTCATGAATTATTTATTTTTAGGTTTTAGAATTCCACAATTCAGCTTTCAAAAACTAATCTGTGGCAAAGCATTTACCACATTTATAATTCTTACGTGTGTGTGCTTGTGTGTTTGTCTTACAACAGAATGCAAGTCCCATGAAGATTAAAACTTATTTTTTTGTTCATTGTATCCCCAGTGCCTAGCATACCAGGCTCATAGTAGGTAACTCAGAAATATTTTTGTAAATGAGTGGTGGTTGAATCTACTAGGAACCAAAGCTGGTAGTCTTTATCAGTCTTTGCTGTGGTGAAATCTATGTTTTTACCCTTATGTTCTTAATAGTTTAACAATAACATTTTATATTTACATTATTTGATTGTATGCAGGGATACTCTAGATACTAGAGGGGGCAGGGAACCCAGTAATTTATAGCTCTTTCCATTTTGCTTAAAAAAATAGAACCAGGATTTTGTACTTATTTTTTTGAGTTGAGCAAAATTAGTTTTGTTTAAAGATACTGTTAAATTATTTTTTATTACTATAGCAGCTAAAAATATGTCAAATGACATTAAAGACCTGTTCAAGGAACTGATTGGGAGTTTAGTAGACTTCTATTTACCTTATCAAAAATTAAGGTTCTGTCTCTGTAACAAAGATGAGTTGTTTCAGTATATGAAGCTTTAGACTGCGTTAATGACATCAGTCTTGGTAATCTTTTTACAAATTCTTAGGGTTTCTTTATATTTCAGTAGTATACCTGGTTTAATAAAGAAAGGCGTGTTGAAATATACAGTTTTTTTTTTTTAAGATTTTATTTATTTGAAAGAGAGAGAGAGAGAGAGACAGCGAGAGGGGACACAAGCAGGGGGAGTGGGAGAGGGAGAAGCAGGTTTTCCGCGGAGCAGGGAGCCCTATGTGATGCGGGACTCATCCCAGGACCCTGGGATTATGACCTGAGCCAAAGGCAGACGCTTAACGACTGAGCCACCCAGATGCCCCTGAAGTATATAGTTTAAATCTGAAGTTTCCTTGAGAAATCTTTTTTGTTGCAACCTCTGGCTACTGTCTTGAAATGCAGAGGAACTTTTAGGAATGCCATTCATGGTGTATAATAGAAGATATTACTACAAACAAATGTTACAAAATAGGTTTACAAATTAGGAAATGCAATCTCAGGTAGAAGCACATACCTGGCCTAGTACTGTTTTTCACTTTATGGTACCCTTTTTACATCAGTTTTTTTGAATTAAAACATGGTAGGTAGGGAAAATGTGTCTTACCATCGGAGACCAGGAGTACTGAACAGTTTAGATTGGCTAGATGAGCGATCTTAAACTTTTTCTTCCCAAGATCCCGTCACCTGTTATGCTTTTACAAATTGTTGAGGCCCCTAAAGAGCTCTGTTTATATGGTTTATATCAATATTTACTGTATTGAAAGTGAACATTTAAAAATTTTTAATTCATTTAAAAATAATAGTATTAAATCTATTACATGAAAGAACGACTTTCCAAACAAAAATTTGGTGAGAGTGGCATTGCTTTACATATTTACAATCTTTTTTTTTAAGATTTTATTTATTTATTTGACAGAGAGAGAAGATACAAGCAGGGGGAACGGCAGGGAGAGGGAGAAGCAGGCTCCCACTGAGCAGAGTCCCCGGACCCCGGGACCATGACCTGAGCTGGAGGCAGACGCTTAACTGACTGAGCACCCAGGCGCCCCTGCAGATCTCTTTAATGTCTTTCACTTACTAGAAGACATCCGGATTCTCATAGATCCTTCTACATTCAATCAATTGTAATATCACATATCATATAAACTCTAGAAACACCACTGTATACTCATGAGAGAATGAGAGTGAAAAAAAGCCAAATAACTTTTTTTTTTTTTAAGATTTTATTTATTTATTTGACAGAGAGATAGTGAGAGCAGGAACACAAGCAGGGGGAGTGGGAGAGGGAGAAGCAGGCCTTCCGCCGAGCAGGGAGCCCGACATGGGGCTCGATCCCAGGACCCCGGGGATCATGACCCGAGCCGAAGGCAGACATTTAACGACTGAGCCACCCAGGTGCCCCGCCAAATAACATCTTAATATTATGAAAATGGTTTGACCCCCCCCACTGAAGGGTCCTGGGAATCCTGGCAGTCCACGGACCACACTTTAAGAACTGTTGTTAGGTGGTACTAAGCCATTTGTACCATGG